TACTCAAAAACTTGGGAGGACCATCTAGAAAGATTAGAACAAGTGTTTCTCCGTCTTAGAGAGATAGGAGTAAAGCTGAACCCAGACAAATGCGTCTTCGGTCTGACATCGGTACGTTTTTTGGGTTATGTGATTTCGTCGGATGGCATCGCCACTGACCCAGATAAAATTGCAGCTGTTAAAGAATGGAAACAGCCAACAACCACAGTAGAGGTCAGATCATTCTTGGGCTTTGCTTCCTATTATAGAAAATTTGTACCTGGTTTTGCAAAAATTGCCGCACCGTTGCATGACTTGGTAAACAAAATGACAAAGAAACACAGTAAGGAGAAAAAGAAAGGCAAAACACAACTGATAGGTGAATTATGGACTGAGGAATGCCTGAACTCGTTTAAGCTACTGAAAAAGGCTTTGACAGAGGCGCCGATATTAGGATACGCAGACTTTGACAAACCATTTCGGCTAGAAATTGACGCCAGCTCTAAAGGTCTGGGAGCTGTGCTATCACAACAACAGGAGCAAGGTTTCAGGGTTATTGCGTATGCCAGTCGAGCTCTGAAGGAATCAGAGAAGAACATGACAAATTACAGCGCCATGAAACTAGAACTTTTGACATTAAAATGGGCTGTGACTGAAAAATTCAGGGACTATCTATTAGGTGCTAAATGTGTGGTATACACTGACAATAACCCCTTGAGTCACCTAAAGACAGCAAAGTTGGGATCCATCGAACAGCGATGGGCAGCAGAATTGGCACTCTTTGACCTAGAGATAAAATATCGCCCGGGGCGGTCCAATGGCAATGCGGACGCTTTATCAAGGAATCCTTACGAGAGACCGGGCGATGAGGAAGAAACGCTGACAGGAATATGTGAGGTCAGAGCGTCAACAGATATCCCTCACGGGGTGCAAGTGATGCAAAACGAGCAGACTGTGGTGGAGCACATATCCACAGAGCCCCGTCATATGGACATCAGTGATTTTAATTGCCTTAACAATAAAGAGATAAGAGATGCCCAGAGAACGGATAGTGGGTTACAGCCGCTATTGAAATACGTCCAGGAACAAAAATTCCCAAGAAGAAGGGAAAGAGAACAGTTTGGTCGAGAAACAAAGAAACTACTGAGTCAGTGGGACCGTCTCAGTATAAAGGATGGTGTTCTCATGCGGAGAATTCATGACCAAATAGAAGGGACAATACACCAGGTGGTGGTGCATGGACAATTACGAGAAGAAGTGCTAAAGTTGGCACATGACAGGGCGGGACACCAGGGTCAGGACAGGACGCACAAAATATTACGACGGAGGTGCTACTGGCCCAATATGGAGATGGAGGTCAAACGCCATTGTGAGGCTTGTGTGAGGTGTCAGCATGCGAAAATGCCAGTTGTTAAAATGAGACAGCCATCAGGACACTTACGGGCAGGTTAAACCCCCCCAAAATACATATTTAAGTCAGAAATGTTGATTTTTGAAAATCTATTGTTTCTGAAACTACATTCAATTCTGAACATTTTTATATAATCATTTTGCAAAATTTCGTATTGCTAGTATTTTTTATAATTTTTTAATTAATGAGACTAATGACGTAATTGACCTATATTAAGCAACATTTAGCAACATAAAAATTAAAAACTAACTAAAATAGATGTTCTTATTGCTGAGTAAGAGGCCCCAGATGCAATTTATGTAACTGGGAGGTTTTAAAAATGACTTATTTGGTATAATTTTCGCTTTTTCTCGTTTTTTTCAAATTTAGTATATTTTTCACTATTTAGCGTTTTTCTCAAAATGTTACTTTTCAACAATATAGTACCAGTTAAATCACTATAACTCAAAAACTACTTGAGATATTTAGCTGAAATTTTGCACACATGTTTACTAAACACTGCTTGTAAAGGTGAACTAAAAGAATTTCTATATCTTTGAAACTTCTCATTTTATTAAAAAAAAGCTTAGTCTACTCCCTACTTTTTGGAAAAAATTTAGGTCTCACATTTTAAAAATTTGGCTAAAATCCATTTTTTATTATTTTCTAATTGTTTTAGTTTAACTTTTTTGTAATTGCGTATATTACACTATATTAAAGATTTGTGTTATTCTGACAAACAGAAGCTGAGTTATTATGATTTCAATGAGAGCTAATTTTGAGCTATTTTACCCTAAAAATGACACTTTTTAGAAAATATTTTCACAAAACCATAACTTTTTAGTGATTTTTTTGCATTTTTTTCATATACTATGCTAGTTACAACTTCCTTATCACTCAAAAAAGTCCTAACACCTAAATTTCAATTTGGGGGTTTAACCTGCCCTTACTGGCGACAAAACCACTAGAGATTGTGGCTATGGACTTTACGTCGTTGGAGCAATCATCGGATGGGACGGAACATGTGTTGGTAATGACTGATGTATTCACCAAATGGACTGTTGCGGTGCCCACACGAGATCAGACGGCCAAAACAGTGGCAAAGGTCTTAATAGAACATTGGTTCATCAAATATGGCATACCAAGACAATTACACTCTGACCAAGGAAGGGCCTTTGAGTCAGAAGTAATTAACCAACTGTGCAGCCACTACGGGATCAACAAATCTAGAACAACCACATTTAATCCGAAAGGAAACGGACAGTGCGAGCGGTTCAACCGCAGCATGCATGATTTGCTGCGTACGCTAGAACCTGAACAGAAAAAACGTTGGCCTGATTTTCTCCCAGAGTTGGTATATCTATACAACTGCACCCCCCATGCCACAACCGGCTTTTCGCCACACATGTTACTGTTCGGACGGGAGGCTCGACTCCCTCTTGACTTGTTCCTAGGAAAAAAGGAGAGTATGACTGGCTCATACACCGCACTAGAATATGTGAATGAACATATGAGACGAATTAGAGAAATGTACAGGGTGGTACAGGAAAGACTAGAACATGAAGCACGGCGAAGGGAACCGCCGGTACAGACAAAGGACCCGCCACTCAAACTGAACGACAAAGTATTACTGCGTAGCCACCCATTAGGCAGAAACAAAATCCACGACCTCTGGGGACAGGAGATATGGCAAGTCGTGGAGATGCCTAAAATAGCCGGTGGCCCCTTTAAAATAAGACCCATCAATCACACCAAACAGGAGCGGTGGGCGAATATTGCTCAATTAAAGAAATATTGTCATAGTCAAGAAGAGCAGTTACACACAAAGAAACCTAAGACAATTAGGGAACCGGAAATTACAACGGAAATTCACATACCCATCCCGGAACCATGTCACCATCAACAGCACAACAGCGATACACAAGGGGAGGATAACGGCAACAATGAGGATCCCGGTCCTCCCAGAAGCAGAGACACAGTAGAACAGCAGACAAGTGGTCCGCGGAGAAGTTTGAGAAACAGAAAGAATACGAAATTTTTCGTCAGCAACCATCAATTCTTTCATGGTCGCGCTGGTATGAGAACAGACTGTTCAAAAAGTTATAAAAGTGAACTGGTGAAGGCACCAAACGAAAAAAGGTGGATGTGAATTCTAGAACTGCTTTGTGTCTGAGGAATATGATGAAGACACATTTGACATGTGAAATAGTGATAACTGTCAATCTTTTACGAATGTGACGACATTGACAGTGAGTGGAACAATAATTTTTTTTTACGGCGGTGCTTTTGACATTGAAGGAGTGCACCTGCCAAGCGTTGTTTGTGGTTGAAAACACACAAAAAAAAAGGCGGGGGTGGATGTAACTAGGGTAGTTACCATACTATGGTTAACAACGTATTACAGTCTGATGCAATAGTGCAGATGTTGGGCTGATAACGATCACAAAGCCGCTGCGCAGTTCACAGGCTGACGTAACAGTGCAGATGGTTTATTAATCGGATTGTATGACAGAAGCTGCGCAATTAATATTCTGATGCAACGATTAGAATACGAGTACGAATACGAGTATGAATATGAGTACGAATACGATTACGAATACGAAGGGATATATAGGAAGGCGACAGCTGAGAACGAGGAGTAGGAGTAGAAGTGTGGCAGTATCAAGTTGGTTACTGAACGTTGTAGACGTATTGTGTTAATAGGGACGATAGACATGTGCATTCGGTTATGTGAAGACTAGTGAGGACGGTTGGGGGTCAGTTGATTCATTCTATTATTGTGAAGCATTTCTTTTGATTCATGTAATAAAAGGATCAATGGTAAACCTGCATCTTCGAGTATCTATATTGTGGTCGATGTTGTGTAGAATGAGTAAATACACTCGTTAACATTTGGCACTACAAGCAAATAGACTCGTTACATATATATATATATATATATATATATATATATATATATATATATATATATATATATATATATATATATATATATATATATATATATATAATTCTCTTCTGGGAGACGTTAGAAAGCAAGCTGCAAGCGCGCCTTACAGTCCCCTCTCTTCCTCTCTATAGCTACCACCCCCACCCCCACCCCACCCCCACCCCCCTCACATGGTCTGATGAGTGGTGATCACTCTAAATGTTTACATTCGTAGAGCCGTGTTTGGTGACGGCTATTAGGGGCAGATAATATAGTTTGAAACGATTTTAAACTTAGAGCAGGTAACTAAGAGAAGGCTGCTTTCACGTGGAGGGGGGGGGGGGGAGTATTTTTTTAAAGCAAATATTTTCAGTGGCAGCATTGGTACTGTCGAATTCACAAATTATGAATTACTGAAAAGTAAACAAAACAACAACTAAATAGCGGCGTATGATACACCGCGGGTCGGCTCGTATATATATAATTCTCTCCGTCGCCCAACCATGAGGGACACCACGCATGCACGCCGACTCTCAAACCCTCCTTCGCCCCCACCCTCGCTCTCCAGGCATGCGCAACAGTGTGTACCCACCCACCCCATTTGGACAACTGTGTCTTTCAGGAAGTCTTCACCTGTATTCTACGCCGCGGGTCGGCTCGTATCATTATAAAACTTCCCATTTCCAAAACGATTTCAGAAAAAGAAGTCTCTGGTTGCCAAGATGAAGTTGTTTGCCGCAGTCCTGCTGCTCTGCAGTATAGCGCATGCACAAGGTCAGTTTACAATCAACACTAGCTGTTTGCAATGAGTTGAGGATTAAAAAAAACAACTATTTTTATGTTTGTCTTCTTCTTCTTCTTCGTTCTTAATTATTAGTGTTGAAGGGGATCAAGATTTATCTGCCAGTGGGTTTGAACTCGAGACTTTGTTCGAATTTATCAACCATGAGCTTTTTGCCGACTCGACCACACCACCAACACAATTAAGCGTTACGTGTCAACTGGTTATGTTTGTATTTTGATATATAATCGTACCGTTAAAGATTGGGCATAGATGAACATTGTTAAGAATTTCACAAAGTGCGATAACTATTTGTATGTTTGTACATTTGCATAGATGTATTTTGTTGTTTATATTTTTGTATTTTTGTATGTTTATATATAATCGTTCTGTAACAGATTGCAGCCCAGGCTGGATAAGAAGAGGAAATACCAACTTCTGCTACCAATTTCAAAACACTCCAAAATCATTTGATGATGCGATAGGTGACTGTGCTTCAAAGTCAGGATTGGTGACTCATATTCTGGATCTGGAGGAGCAAGACTTTGTGTCAGGTAATACATTAATCTAGTGTGTGACATTTTAAATGAAGAAATGATATAACTTTAAGCTACATTGTGTATATAAGGTCACACCATGAGACTAATTTACGAAGTTAAATATTACTATTAGGTGGGCACCTTGGAAACATTTCACTTTTTAAACTTTTTTTCTGTTGCCCATGAATTGAGTGACGTAGTTTTTTAAGCATATACATTTTAGGCCCTATCTCACTTTTGGTAATACTATTTTTTGTATAATAAGGATAAGCATTTCAATGGAGTAAGGTAAATAGGAGATACAATTTAAAAAAAAAAGAAAAAATTCTATTTTCACATTCAAATGCTGATATAATATTTTATTTTCTAACTTAATTGGAAATGTGTTATTTATTGAGATGGGTTTTGCATTTTGGTTGGGGCTCTAGGGGTTCAATTCATTAATAAAATAAAAGGATTTTTTTAGTGATTTAAATGATTCTAAATTCGCTTTTTTTAAGTAATTGTATAACTGAGATGAATATAAAGTAATTTTTTAAATTATGTTTATTGACAGACTTTGGCAAGATTCCTTTTTTTTTAAACATAAAAGATATCAAAATGAAGAAAATAAATAAAGCTGTAACCAAAATTGTAGGATTACAATGCAGTAAAGTTTAAAATTAGAATGGTTGCGGATTTTGAATGATAGCTATGTATTTCTTGTCACTTATTTTTTTTCTTAAAGCCATGGTTAAGAACCAGACAAGCGACATATGGCTCGGCCTGACTGATACTGATAATGGGAAAGGCGTTTGGGATTGGACCGGCTATATTTGTGTGCCCACCACTTACTGGGATGATGGTAAACAATATACTACTTCTGTCACATGGGATTGTTCTTTCACTTTGTAGAAACTGAGTATCTGTTTGTGTAATGGTAATGGTAATGGTAATGGTAATGGTAATGGCAAGGGTAAGGGTAAGGGTAAGGGTAAGGGTAAGGGTAAGGGTAAGGGTAAGGGTAAGGGTAAGGGTAAGGGTAAGGGTAAGGGTAAGGGTAAGGGTAAGGGTAAGGGTAAGGGTAAGGGTAAGGGTAAGGGTAAGTGTAAGGTTAAGTTTAAGGGTAAGTGGTAAGGGTTAGGGTAAGGGTACTTGATAATAAGACACTAACTGTAGATCCTTATTTATTTTACTAGCTGCAATACCCTCTCCCCACGTGAATCATTTTAAATGTACCAACTTGACTACAAAACTTAACACAACACAAAACAACACATACACAATTTCAAAACACAAACACAACACAAACACAAACACAACACAAACACAACACAAACACAACACAAACACAACACAAACACAACACAAACACAACACAAACACAACACAACACAAACACAACACAAACACAACACAAACACAACACAACACAACACAAACACAACACAACACAAACACAACACAAACACAACACAAACACAACACAAACACAACACAACACAAACACAACACAAACACAACACAAAACACAAACACAACGCAAACACAATACAAACACAAAACAAAAAAACGCAAACACAACACAAACACAACACATACACACAACACAAACACAACACAAACACAACACAAACACAACACAAACACAACACAAACACAACACAACACAACACAAACACAACACAAACACAACACAAACATAACACAAACACAACACAAACACAACACAAACACAATACAAACACAATACAAACACAACACAAAAACCATACAAAAACAATACACAAACAACACAAAAACAACACAAACAAATCAAAAGAAAACACAAACGTATACACAACTTAAACACACAAGAAAACGCAAACACAAACACAAAGTAACACGCAAACGTTAATACAGAACACATAATGAAACAAAAGAAAACAAACGCAAACAACAGCAAACTCAAACAAAACGCAAACAGAACGCAACGCACAAACACAAACAAATCAAAAGAAAACACAAACGTAAACGCTTTATCAAATGTTGTTTGGAAACAAATGACCGTGTATACACATGCTGCCGAACAACACGCTTTCCTGGGATTCGTGTCCAGTGACCACCTTTCCCACATTCGTTTTCACGGAGAAAAAAAATGTGCAAAATGAAGTAAAAACTTTGCCAACAATTAAAAACTTTAAATCAAAACTTTGTCAACAACAAAAAATGTAAGTCGCATAAATACATCCTACTCCATAACTTACAATAAGACAATGCGATGCAAGTAAATGTACGGCAAAACACACTGGCAATATAAATAGAATCAACGCCGAACAACACGCTTTCTTAGGTGTCCGCGCGCAGAGAGAGCCTTTCCAGCATTCTTTAAAAATCTAATCTCACCATCCGTTTAAATAACACCGAAAAACAAAACAAAAAATAGTGATTTTGAGAGATCATAGACTAATTAGAAAATAGTATAAAGGATCTTAACATTTATCTATTTTAGTTATAAACCTTAGCATATAATAAGCAATGCGGTAGTAATTTAAAAATAATTAACTAAAATTTTTTAGAGTTGTATTTCTTTTTAAATTACCTCCCCTGGCAGAATCAGTAAATATTTTGATTAATTACTTTTTTCGACCTTACTATTTTTAAATTGTATCTATTTTTTCTAGGAATCTAAGCGAAAATATTATTTGTCATTGTTCCGTTTAATATGTTTTAGCAATGTGCGTATATTTAATATTTTCTTTACATTATGCTCAATAGTAAAAACTGGCTACTATACAATAAATTTAAGTCGTCATATAAATAAACCCTGCTTTAAATTCATAATAAGACATCGCGATGCCATTTAAAAGCACTGCAAATTTGGAAATTTACTTGTATGGTTCCAAAATCTATAGCGATGATGGAATGACGAAATGACTGACACACCACCACCAGCGTTATATTATAGATTTTTTATTATCGCCCGTTGTATTTCTTCCCCAAACAGCTATTTATTTAGTATTGAAGAGTGATAAAATATAAAAATGCTTTTTTATGCTATTTTTTTAATAAAAAACAGAAATCATCCCCAGTCCAACCAAGTTATGGTAACGGTGACGCTAATTGTGCAGTAATGAGAGCAAACACAAGCCTTTGGGACGATAGGGATTGCTCCGAATTGCATCCTTACATTTGTAAGAAAAAGATTGGTACGTAGTTCACTACTTTACCATACATATCAATAATTCTCTTCATCGGGATCATACAAGACACCCTCATCCCTCCTGTCTGGTGAGCTTCGGTTCATCCCGAATGTTTACAATAGTAAAGCCGGTTCGAAAAAGTGACAACTATTAGGGGCAGATAATTTAGTTTTTAAACGATTTGAAACTAAGGGGAGATAGTTAGTTCTGCTTGATATTTTCATTGTCGTCTGTAAACGGCTGCTTTCAGGAGTGGGGGGGGGGGGGGGGTTGAGGCAGGGGGTGGGGTAGTGTCGAATTGTTGATAAGGAGAAAATAAAACAACTAGATAGCGGCGTATGGTACGTCGCGGGTCAGCTCGTTAACAATATTTAAACTCTATCTGCAATTTATTGGACGACTTTCAAAATAGTTTGTTACATTTTCCTTTCTCTGGGACCTAATGATAATCTACTATGGGAAAACCATAGAATGAAAAAATCAACAAACATTCCTTTTGACTACAGTATCTTTCTTTTAATGATGCAAACCAAAACCATATAATGTATCTTAATAACTTATTTATATCGAGTTATCTTTGAATAGAAAAGCAGCAAGTTATTAAATTAGATGTACAACACAGAATAAACTAATCCTATTCCCTTTCAAAGCCGTGCTCTACGCCACCCACTTCTACACACACGAACACATACACCACATACTACTGACCTACTAAGTCAAAACAGTCTTAATGTTATTTTTTTTTACCTAGTTGCTATTTTGCTGTTTTCTAATTAAAAGCATAAAGAGTGACGAGTTTTCATTCTCTTCTGCATTCGTATTTTACCGTATTGTATGACGCCTTAATGGATCTTTAACTTATAACCTTATTGTTGAGCATCTATTATATTGTGTCATACAAGCTATTTAATCTTAAATTTTATTTCTAAAGCTTGTTGGACGACAGACTTGGTTTAAATATGATATTCATTTTCCCGTCACTTTCTGAATTTTGTCAGGCCATGTTGTTTCAATAAAATGTTATCCGCGTGAAGCTTTATAAACAGAATAATGTTGATAGTAGACTATTAATAGCTGAAACTGACAAGAAATTTTTTTTTAAAAGTAACTCATTTTTGTGGTTATTTCCGTGTACTCTGATTTAGTTCTTAATTTGTTATATATTATAATATATCTGCATAATGTTAAGAATTTGAAAACATTTATTAACAATATATATATATATATATATATATATGTATATATATATATATATATATATATATATATATATATATATATATATATATATATATATATATATATATATATATATATATATATATGTCGTTTTTATTCGTTTACACAATTTTCTTTCATTTTTTCCTGCAGTTGGCACATATCCTTATTTTGTACCTCTCAATGTGGTAAATTTCATGTTTTCTTTTTCTTTAGCATTATTGAATCTTTTTCTTGAATATTATTTAACTAGAATTGTTTTAATAAATTCCTTGCATAGAATAAATTCTTTGGGCACCCAAACGACCCACTTAAATTTCCAAATTTATTAATAACTTTCCTGTGTACTATATATATATATATACATATATATACATATATATATATATATATATATATATATATATATATATATATATATATATATATGTGTGTGTATATATATATATATATATATATATATATATATATATATATATATATATATATATATATATATATATATATATATATATATATATATATATATATATATGTATATATATATATATATACATATGTATATATAAGCATTTAAAATATACTTTTTAACAGGTAGACAGGTGTAAAAAACACGACAAATATGTAAATTTAAAAATAATATATGTTAATATTGGAATCATTTATTAAATTTGAATTTAAAACCTTTTATTTCAAAATATACTACGCTTACGCATTCCTCTAAAAAAAGGTGTACTTGTAAAGTCGATAAAAACGTTTATGTTATCATGAGCCATGAACATCTGACATCACAAATTTGACTCTACTAATGAACTAATTTATCATATATTTGTATTGCCAAGACAACCGGATAATTTTCAGTATATTTTTTTTATAATTTATAACTAAAAAATGTAAGGAATTCAATTTTTAGTATGTATTGCATTGTTACTAGTAAAACATGTATTAAATATTTTCATACAAATCTATCAACAGACTTGCAGCGACAACTGCATGTATAAGTTCCCCAATCGCACTTGCGTGCCTTACGACAATCGGGTTAAGCATGTATAA